TGTTGTACTTCCCTTCGATTGCTTCAACTGAAAATTGTAAAAACAGTTAATAATATATTATAACGTTGTGGTTCATGTGGAAAAATCATTTTAGTGGAATACTCGGCATATTCGGGCAAAGTAGATTATAAATATTTATTTCATTTATTATATTAATTTGAATACGGTGCCTGGGAAATGTATACGTACATGCTATAATTTTTAATTTCTTGTTTTGTTCCTTTATTTTCAAATTACATCAAACCTTCTATAAGCAAATGATTTTATTTAAGTAGTGTCATAACTCATTTATCATTTGTAGATAATCAGTCAAATTTTATGATTATTACTTATTATGGTAACGTAAGCTGCAAAACTATCTATCGCCCACGGCCCACCGATAATGAACGCTGCACTGACAATGACCTACCTAGTTAATTTTCACCTATCACGATATTGTTAACTTGCAGCGTAATTCGTATGAGTTCATGATATGTATTTTTATAGTATAATACACCTACATAGCTGACCGCAGACGACAGTAGATACGCACTTCTTGCCGATCATTCTGTGTGTCTTTTTATTCTTTCTATATTCAGCGTGTGCGAGTTTTTTTTATATTAAAAATAAACTTATTTGTCGTTTTAATGATATGTTAATTACTCAATCTAACAATACAATATATTTTATTTGAGTTTTAAAAACTAGAAATTATATATCAGACATTTTTTTTAAAACTTTTAAAATTAAAATTCTGCCATATATAGGCGTCTGAAATATAAGCCTTCGGGCCTACTCCCAGACATAGCACCATACCCAAGAATAAACTTGAGCTTTAATACGATGAACTTGTATTACATTTAAAATAATAATAATCGTAACAAACACAACACTTTTTAATTCCAATACCAGTTTTTGTATACAAAGTTTGGCCTAAAATAAAATATGTAAAGCAGGGGCGTCATTTCAGGTTTTTTTTTCGGGTGTGCGAAGTTTCAAGCAGGCCATTTTGAAATTTCACCAGGCCATATAAAAATAGATATATATACGTATATGTATATTATCCTGCATTCAATTATTTCCATACATTTTAGACCGGTTATTACAATTTGATTTTAATCTTATAAATAATTGTGCATTCGTGGCTCGTGCATTATTTTAGGCTTCAGCAAGGCGCAGGCCAATATTGTAACATTCTAAAAGTAAGGGGTGCAACCGCACACCCTGCCACCCCCCAAATGATGCCTCTGATGTAAAGTAATAATCTACAAGGCTTGATCAACTCGGGC